CAGCGAAGACACAGTGCCAACGACGACACTGGCCACCGAAGACCTGCTTGAGTAAAGGTTTCCTGCGCTAAAACCCGTTCCAATGGCGAGGCCCACTTTGACACAACCGACGTAAGGAAAATGAAATCCGCGAAGACTTAGGAAAGTGAAGATTATCTTTAGGAAATATGTCTAGCCGACTTAGGGAGCTATATATATATCAATGTACAAACCCTTGTAAAAGGGATCCGCAACTTTATTCACAAAAGCATATACAACAATAACAAACGTTTCTCTTTGCTCATCGTTTCGTTTGTAGCTTAACCTAAAAATCTCTGTTTCCTCACGAAACCCATACAAATCTAATTGTGCTAGTTTTGACTCCCACATGTAAGTTCGATACATCCTAGAAAAACATGTGAGGTTAGTCGTCAAATATTGCGCAAGAATTCGGGAGATACAAAATGGATGGGAACCAACGCATTTCTCTGTTTTGGTTTATGCCCTTGAGGCTGAAGTTTTCCATTTGGTAATCCACTATTTGTTTTGAAAATATGGGCTACAATCGTATATTGTTTGAGTGCGCCTTAAAAAAACTAGTTTCAACTTTGAAAACTCTCATCTTGGCCTTGTTTTAGGATTGTAGTCATCGAATTCTGCAAAAAAGTTTGAATGCGCTTTGGTCTAACTTAAGACAGTTGAGTTAGACTGTTTCACGACCCAAGACGCTGAGTTGAGAATTCTTCGAAAAGATGCAAAACAAAATTAAAATTTGCCATTTGAAAATTCTAGCTACGTGTTACAATTATATTAAACATGGCTTCTTTAAAACGTCATTATATAATACTATATGAAAAATATATACATATAAACTATCAATTTTCACCAAGAGTTGTTGAAAAGGTGAGTGTGTATATGTAGTAAAATGTCTTAACATGTGATTTGAAATATTCAAATATAGTTCCAGTTTCTTGGTTGGGTGGTAATTACTACTTCCGTCAATTTTTATTGACTGAGTTGCCATACAAAAATATTGTGCTATGCATTTGGATGCAACAAATATTCGACTTGTTATTCGTGTATGTACTTACGTCATCAGGTTGTTGTAGTTGTGACGTATACCAGATTTTTTTTTCTAACTTTCGTATACCAGATTGAAGACTGGTTCTTTTTCCGTGTAAGATATTTGATTTTGTTGCAAACTTTATTATTACGAAATTCTGATATATTATATTTTAATTTTCCTAACAACTCAAATTTGAATTTGTTCTGTTGTTTTACATCCGTTGATGATCAATTGAATTACTATTATGATTTTCTTTTTTTATAACTTAGAGTAAATCTCAAGCATATAGAGGGTTTAGATTAATTTCTGGAAGAGATGCAGCTAATGGATAGACAATCAATGGATAGATCCTCTTTTCAGATATGCAAATGGGCCGAAATCAAAGACTCATATCTGCATGGGTGTCCAATGCAATATGTTTTAGTTTCACGTAGCAGATGGATCGAACTTGAAATGTGTTAGCGTCTCAGTTTCGTCTCTTTACCACTTGACCACAATGTCTTGGACAATTATTATTCTGAGTTAAAATTAATAAGTAATCTGCATGCAACAATTTTTTTTGTTTTAAGATTATCTTTTGCAATAGATTGACCAATACGTTTTGAAAAATTATGCGCTCTTGTATATATATAGAATACAAACATTATATAAACACAAAATACTACGAAGCTAAGCACAAAATACGTTATTTTTGACGGGTGTTGCGTTTAGACGGTAGGTGTCATTTATACAATGCTACAATCCCAATTGTGTAATTAGGAAAAAAAATCAATGAACTTGTTCTGACAATAATATCTAGATAGTCTTTTTTTTTTTTGAAACTCATCTAGATAGTCTTTTTCAAAAAAACAATATATAGATAGACAAGAATACAATTAATGTTTTTCATTTTATAAAAGTTAAGCATACGATCGATTGGAAATCTTTGCAAAGTTGAGGAAATCATCACTATGTGGAATATGGAAACTTGTGAATATGCATGTTTGACACAATTGTTCAATAACGTAGGGAAAATATTGTAGATAAATTGAAAATCATGCTATGAATCTATATGTTTGACACAAATGTTTGAAATGCAATAATCTTGAAGCCGTGCTTGGACCGCACGGTATGTTGGTAAAAAATGTACAATATCGTATGACAATAAATCACTTTCACACCTAAAGTCCCTCAATGTAAAAAAAAAGTGAACCATAAATTAAATTAATTGACCAACTCATACATTCTTGATCACAGTCAAAACATAGTCCTTGTCAAATTAAGTTATCTAATCCATCCTTAACTCTTTT